TGCCATCCCTCTCCAGCCTTCCACAAACTTTGGGCAGGGACACCACTCCTACCCTCTGGCTAATAGCACTCCATGGACCCAACCTCCATGACTTTATCTCACTTCTCTTTAAACTCTGTTCTAGTTGTAGCCTTCACAGCCTCCTGCAGCAAGGAGTTCCACAGGTTGACTCTTTGCTTTGTGAAGAACAACTTTCTGTTACTAGTTTGAAGCCTGCTACCCATTCCTTTCCTTTGGTGTCCTCTAGTCCTTCTTTATGGGAACTCAGGAAGAACTTTTCTGAATACACCCTCTCCTCCCAACCCCTGCTTTTAGAGACCTCTATCCTGTCCCCGCTCCATCTCCTCTTTTCTAAGCTGAACAGTCCCAGTCTCTGTAGCCTCTCTTCATCTGGGATCTGTTCCCAACACCTGATCATGTTAGTTGCCCTCCCCTCTCCCAGCCTTTCTCTTCCCCTCTCCCACCTCCTTTTCCCAGTCTCCTCCAGTTTTGTTCAATAAAGACAGAGTCAATGTTGGAAGAAACGTTATATTTATTTTGTACATCAATAAGAAGGGGGGCTAGGGAAGGGTAAGTGGAAGGAGGTAAGGGAGGAATGGGGTACGAGCCCCCGATGGGGAGGACTGGGCTGGCTCTGCGGGCTTCTGGGGGTGGAAGCTCTCCCCAGATGGCAGCCTGCGGCAAGTGCAGCCGGGCTGATGGCCGAGTGCTGTGATATGCCCAGTGTGGGTACTCCGGGCAATCCAAGCCAGGACTGCTTTGCAAGCGGGGCACCCCTTAGAACTGTGTGTCCGGGGTGGGGGTCGGGACCCTTTAAGCGCAGCCCTCGGCTAGCCTGAGACAGCATCTCCACGCTCTAAGTCCTCCTCTGATGCCCTGCCGGCACTGCTTCCGGCCATCCTTAAGCCCTGTTCAGGGTCCACTCAATGTGGACTTGCTAGTTCGAATTAGCAAAACGCTAATTCGAACTAGTTTTTAGTTCCAGACGCGTTAATTCGAATTAGCTTAGTTCGAATTAACTAATTCGAACTAAGTTAGTTCGAATTAACGTTGTAGTGTAGACGTACCCTTATATATTTGAGATAATTTGTCCGTCTCTCTATCTGTTCAAGAACTCCTCCTAAATGGCAAGAGCTAAGACCACCAAATTTGGTATACAGCTTCCTTTTATCATAGCCTAAAGCAAGGTCAGGGTTGTGCCAGGAAAATGAGATTGCTTCTCAGAAAACCATACAGAAGAGAGACCGGATTTCCAGGCAGGTGAAAGAGCTTTGTTGGGGGCACCCCTGTGGTCTGGGACTGCCCCAGACCCAAGTCTCCCACCCCCAAGCACCCTTTAAGCTCCCCCTATTCTTATGGGAACATTGCTGGCAGTTCCGTTTCACCCTGGAGCAAGGGGAAAGTGCACAGTTTGCTCCATTCCTCACTCTGGCTGGAGAGTGCAGGGGGCAGATGAACCTGTGGTGAGAGAGGGCTCGGGTAGTGATCATTCCTCAGGGTAGCCTGCATACTGAACCCCTCATGCCTGCAGAGCAACGAAGTGTGTATATTTCTTTTTCTTTTTTTTTTTTCAAAAAAGAAAAATTAATTGAGTTAAGGATCCGAGCAATGCTGGGTAAATCTTCTAGTAATAAATAAATAAATCATATACATACAGTTCACAGTGGGACCAGGCTTCCATTGGTTTATGTGGAAAACTTTACATGCAACACACACAAAGGTTTCAGCATAAACACTGTAACAACTGTAATGGTTCTCCCAAATTTCTTGGCTCTCCATGCATTCACTCCCTCCCCAGGTGCTTCCAAACACTCTTCCAAGTTCCAGAACCACCCAGGAATCCCCAGAGCTGTGAACCTGCAACAGATCTCAGCAAGGTAGCGTCTCCCCCTGTGTTCCTTGGCAACTCTGCAGGTGGGGTAGCGTCTGAGGCCATGTCTCCACTTACAGCGTCAGAGATCAATCTTTTGGCATTCAGTTTAGTGGGTCTAATTAAGACCTGCTAAATCAAACGTGGAGGGTAGCTCTAGTGCCTCACAATTGCAAGGAGTAAGGGAAGCTGACGGGAGCATTTGTTCAATGAAGATGACACAAAGCTTGGCTTAAGGTAAACCAAGTATTTTACGTAGCTGGAGTTGAGTACCTTAACCTGACCTTTCTGGTCTCATATAGATCTGACAGGACTGAGCAGCCATCTACTTCAGCAAGCCCTCCCCTTCCCCCTCCAAACACACACACAGATTTCATTGGTTCATGAGCCTTTTGATGGCCATCTATTCCAATCCACTGCTCACAGATCTCTTTGTCATCTATATAATTCTTAGCAGTCCCAGGGGAGAAGAGAGAAGTCTGTAATGCAACATCTTTTCAGAGCACCACTGCAGATATATGCACAACCTTCCTCAGTGGGGCATTTTATATGCTTAGGGAAATGCATGTGGCATTTGCACAATTTTTACAGGCCAGTTCAAATACATTATTCTGGAACATTTTAAAGGTACTTTCTCAAGGAGTGCCATTCCTCTGAAAAATTTCAACATTCTACCCCTCACATTTTCAGGTGCTCTGAAGCAGAGTGCTCTGAAGCAGGTGCTCTGAAGCAGGTGCTCAGGTCTGAAGATCAGCAGAATTTTTTTGTGCTTGTATCTTTTCCCCCCACCACTTCTTCTTGTACTCCAAAATGCTGGGTGTGGTGTTTCTGTGATTTTGTTCAGAGATTTTAAAAGTTCAACTGTATATAGAGACCAAGCCTGGGAAACTTCAAATTGAAAGGTGAACGTTTGGAAAAGTTATGAGACTAAGGAAACATGGAATTAGAATGGAATCCAGGGCACAGCCTTAATTAGCTTTACTCCTTCTCTTGCTATAGTTCATCGCAAACCTGCACACTGGAAGAGACTCTCTTTTTAACTGTTGCGACCGGTGTCTTTGGTGGGGCAGCCTAGCTATGTCTAGACTGCAGGCTTCCTTTGGAAGAAGCTTTTCTGGAAGAGATCTTCCAAAAAAACTTCTTCCAAAAGAGCGCGTCCACACTGCCGAAGCACATAGAAAAACCAAAAGACAGCATCCACACTGAATGGACACTATCTCGCATTTAATCTGTGATTACTATGGATGGAGTAGCCACCAGGGCACCTGTGCTTTTTCCTCTTTCCTCTTCTTCCGAAAGAACTTCCTCTTCCCCATCCACACAAGCCTTTTTACGAAAGAGCTCTTTCAGAAAAAGGCTTCTTCCTTGTAGAAAGAGGTTTACCAATGTCAGAAAATCCCCTCTGTTCTTTCCATTTTTTTTTTAAAGAACGTGATTGCAGTATAGACGTAAGTGAAGTTTTTTCAGAAAAACAGTTGTGTAGACATACCCCTAGCGATTAGGTCCCAGAGTTAGTCGTCAGAAAAGAGGGTGAAGACCTCTGCTGCTGGTGCCCTACCTAGAAACTCCAGCCCACTGTATGAATACAGTCTTGTGTTTGGGGTGTGGCCCCAAGAGTCCAGATTCTCCCCTCAGCTTGGGTTTTAGCAGGTTTCCCCCTTTAAACCGGTGTGGGTGGGGTTGGAGGCTTACGTGCTCTAGTGGCTGGCCAAGTGGACAGGCTTTGGTTCCTGTCCTGCAGACAGCAGGACCATGCTCATGTCTCCTTTCTGGTCAGCCTCTAACTGAACCCAGCTCCTTCCTTTTATCCTGCCTCCGAGCCTGGCATTGGCTATAGGTAAAGCGGGAAGGGCTAGCTGAGCCAAAAGGCTTTGTTTCACCTCTGTAATACCAAGCTCTCCTCTCTTCACTCCTTCACACCTGTTCACGGGTGATAGCTACAGCAGAATGAATGCACTTTTTTTTCATGTCACCTAACACTATAATAACAAAAGACAAATTACTATCCTAGAACTAAGCAAAAGATAAAAGATATTGGCACACACATGAAATATGCTCCAGAAAAATACCTTCTCTTGATATTTTGGTGGCAAAATATACATAGAATGAGTAAAATGTCAGAAACCAGTTAAAAAGTGTCCCTATTCTAAAACTGGATTTGCTGGTATAATATCATGATCAAGCAAAGTAAAGTTATCTTGTTTCTTATTTACCTTTGATTTCCTTTTCCTGTTCTTCCACTCTTGAACACACTGTTCTAGTAAGACTTTCAACAATGGTGTTCATATAACTAAAGTCAGCAACATTGTAGACGTGAGTACTGTCTGGTTCAGAGGCAATTTCTTTGAGTTCATTTATATCTGCATTCTTCACACCTTACCGTGGAGAGAAAAAAATGTTTGCAACAAAAGAAATCAGTGTGGGTATGTCTACACTACCCTCCTATTTCAAAACAGGAGGGTAATGTAGGCATACCGCAATTGCAAATGAAGCCCGGGATTTGAATTTCCCGGGTTTCATTTGCATAAGCCGGGCGCCGCCATTTTTAAATCCCGGCTGGTTCGAACCCCGTGCCGCGCCGAGCATCCCACCTGGCAGCATGAGATTTTATGAGTGGTGTACATCTGCATAGGCCTTGATACACATAGCAAAATTTATTCCACTCATGGATAGAAAAAATTAGGGGAACATTGTTAATGACATCTTTTAGTATTCTGATGATACTAGCATATATTTGCTAAAATGCCAGTTACATTTACAGTCTGGGGATACTGAAAAAAGTTTATATTTTCCAAAGTATGTTGATGATGCTTAATCCAGATAGAAACATAACAGAATACTGATAAATACACTAGATCAGTAGTTCTTAAGCTGTGTGTTTGGAGTCCAAAGTGGGTCAAAACCCCAGAGCTGTCTTAGAATCGCTAGGGCCCAGAGCCAAACAGAAACCTGAGTCCCACCACAAGAACCAAAACCCAGTGGCTTCAACCCTGGACAGTGGGGTTAGGTTACAGGCTTGGGCTTTGCTCTCCCCTCCTCCCCCCCACCCCATCTCTGCCCACTTGGGCTCTGGTTTCAGTCCCCTCTTCTGAGGTTCTACAACAAATTTTGTTGTCAAAAGCGGCTCCAGATGCAATGAAGTTTGAGAATACCTGCACTAGATAGACATAATGCAATAAACAGATACATTAGAATGCGTACCAATGGCAAACAATTCAACACCAGCATCACGCAGATTTTTAGCAGGTGGAATAACATCATCTTGGGATTTTCCATCTGTGATCAATATACCAATTTTGGACACATTGGATCTTGCCCCTGCTTCAGGCTTAAAGCTGTTCTCCAAAATAAAAGTTAAGGCAAGACCTAAAACAAACAAATAAACAAACAAATAAATAAATTTGTCCAAAAAATACCCTGCCTATGTAACATTGATATTTTTATTGATTTTTTGAAGTTTAATTTTCTACACAAAGAATGCTGAAAAGTCTCCTACTGAATATAATGTAGCAAAGAGAACAAATTTTCACTTAAAAGTGTACTGTTCCAAATCCTCAACAACCTTCCAATCAATAAAATGATTTATAACAGAGAATAGAAACTCGTTTGAAATTAAAACAGACTACTTGGCTATTCACGTGCCTTATGTCACCAGAGAGAGAAGGTGGGTGAGGTAATTTATTTCATTGAGACAACTTCTATTGGTGAGAGAAAACTTTTTGAGCCTCCCAGAGCTCTTCTTCTGTTGGACAGAGGTTTGGTCCAATAAAAATATTACCTCACCCCCTTCTTGTCTCTCTTAGGGTATGTCTACACTACCCTCCTAGTTCGAACTAGGAGGGTAGTGTAGACATACCCTAAGATCTTGGGAACAACATGGATACATCTACATTGCATATTATCCCACTGGGAAAGTTAGAGGATTTCATCTATCAGTAAATTAGGGTACCAGTTCAATAAAGGACTAAAAACATGCTTACTATTAATACTGACTTTCCAAGCTTGAAAGCATCAGGACTATTCACATGCTCAAAGGTAAGCACGCATTGAAGTCATTTGCTGAACTGGTATTTCAAAGAGTAACATATAAATTCTGTGTGACACATTTTTAGAAATTCTGGTCAAATTACAGATATGTCTGTAATGAAACTGCCTTCAGTTGTTTTGTCAGCAGAAGTCACTGAGACAGGAAATCAGATTGTTAATTTCATGCCTGAACCTGAAAAACCTCCCTGGAGTGGTTCTTCTAGTTTTGCTGAATATGGGACAGATCCAGAGCAGTTTTCATTGCCCTCAGTTCCCACTGGAGTCCCTGGGAGATATCTGTGCTAAGTTTTATGGGGAAAATTCACCCAGCACTGAAGTCTTGCACAAAACCCATTCACCACTTAACAAAGGCCATTAAAGTAAGTGAGAACTTAGAAAACCCCAGTTGACAAGTACAATCTTTTATTTTACATCTTTCTACATTCACAAGCTGAGGGAAAGCTTATATTAAACAAACATCAAAAAATTGATTGTTACTGATTTAAGGGAGACAACTTGGCTCTAATTTGGAAGTTATCGTGAAGCTATATGAAAAGAAGTTAGGCAAAAGCCACCTCTAATATCAGAATATAGTAATAATAGTGGATTTATTACTTGCTTTTTTATATTTCTATCAGGCATCAGTTCTGTTATAGTACCACTAGATAGCCCTTCTCTCCCAATCCAAGTATAATAATTTCTTCTACCAATACAGTGATTGGTGGAGGAGAAAATGGAAAACTTTTATGCCTTTCTGGGGAAAAAATAGTTAGGCAACAATGTATGTAATGCCATTTCTGACTCGATCACTCTGCCATTCGCCAGACAAGAGAGCCAGGACTATTAAGTGCTGCACTGATGCTATGGGATTCAGCGAATATACATTTTATCATGTTGACAAGTATTTCGCAGCTATCCACTATTAAATGTTCAAAGTGCCAAGCATGGTTTCAATACCATGAAAGTTAATGGGAGTCCATAAGATTCCTTATGGCTGCAGCTCCTTCAGATCAAATTCTTAGGCAAACTTCAAAACTAAACACAAAAATAAACACTTCAAAATGCACATTGTCCCATAAGAAACAGAACAAGCCCCCAATACTTTAAGCCAATGCAGCTTGGCATATTTTGGAACACATGGCAAATGCAAAAATACATACTGTACCTGTTAATGTATTCCCGCCCTTATATGGCAGATTACGCACTGCATCCAAAACACCATCCTTTGTACTAAAGGCATTCAGATGCCACTCAATTCGGGGATCTCCGCTAAACTGAGCAAGACCTAGTGATCCAGAAATAAGTACTTTGCATGAGATTCCTTTTCACATAAATACACCTCACGAACCAGAAATAAATACTTTGCATGAAATCCTTTTTCACATAAATACACCTCACGAACCAGAAATAAATACTTTGCATGAGATTCATTTTTTCCTGTATAGGCTTTCAGTAGCCTGTTATCACAACAGGGCTCTTTAATCTAAAGAAGAATTTATTACTCCCCAAGTCATTCTGGATATCAATTCCACAATGTATTTTCTAGGGTTTTCTTTCAAGTGCTAAGGAATTTAAGTAAAAAGTAATGTGCTTTTTTTTTCAGGCTTTCTCCCCAGAATTCATTTCATGAAAGAGAACAATTTCATTAAATGCCTCCTTGAAGAGGTTAAGATGTAAGTAGCTAAACAGATATAATATATTGTTCAAATTGATTTTAAACATGATAGAAACCATCTGTTGGCACTTTCTTCATTTCAAAATTCCTCTTACTGTAACAGCCGGATCCAATGCCAATTGAAGTCAATAGGAGTGCTTCTGTTGACTTCAAAAAGTACTGGATTAGAACCTGAGATTAATATATGGTCACTTTTGGAAGAGATAAAGAGACACAAAAGTGAGGAAGCGAGTTAAACAGAATGCAAAGGAACAGTCAGAAGGATGAAATGCTTGCAGATTCATAAATCTCATATGAACTTCTTATAAACAACATAGGAGAAGTTCAAATTAAATGTATACCCCAAAATTTAAAAAAGACCAGTAAGAGTACCCAAAAAATGTCATCATGCAGGCAGATACAGGCAAAAAGGCATCTTTTAAAAATTGGAACTCAAAACCAACTGAGGAAAACAGAATGGAGCATAAACTCTGGCAAGCCAAGTATAAAAATATTATAGGGCAGGTCATGAAAGAATTTAAAGTGCAGCTCACTGAAGACAGAAAAACTAGAAGATAAAAGTACAGCAAAAGCAGGAAGCCTGAGAAACTATCCAAACTATAGGAGCGGGGCACTGGGTGCTTGTGGTTCTAAAGGAGCATTTAAAGAAGACAAGGCTGTTGTGCAGTCCTTACATTAATTCTTTGCTTTGGTCTCCCCTTCAGAGGATGTGGGAAGATCCCCACACCCAAGCCATTATTCTAAGGTGATAGATCTGAGGAACTGTCCCAGACTGAGGTGCCAATAGAAGAGGTTTTAGAACAAACTGATCAATGAAATAGTAATAAGTAGGGCTGTCAAGAGATTAACAAATTTAATCATGATTAATCACATGCGCCTCCCCTTTGAAAATCCATGGTGGCGTTTAAACAGGGCACTGCTGCATGGATTCTGGGATCAGCTAGAGTCCCCAGCTGACCCCAGGCTCCATGCAGCACTGCCCCTTGAAGCTGAGACTCCCCGGTTGATCCTGGGTTCTGGGGAAATGCCACGTGGAGCCCGGGATCAGCTGGGGAGTCCCCAGCTGACCCTGGGCTTCACTGCCCCTTTGACACAAGTGGAAGGGGCATTTCTAAGTGGCAGCCACCGCACAGCTGATCCTCAGCTCAGCTGTGAAGTGGCTGCCCCTTTGAAATGCTGCCTCTGCACATTTTAGAGAGGCAGTGGATCCCGAGGTCAGCTGGGGAGTCCCCAGCTGATCCCAGGCTCCGCAGTGCACTGCCCCTTTGAAGCGCCACAGCAGCACGTCAAAGAGGGAGCGCAGCATTAACGCCTGCAATTAACGCATTTAAAAATGTAACATGTTAATCCTGGACTGTGTTAGCGCAGCAGCAGCAGCACTAATGCTTAAAAATTTAACACGTTAATCCTGGACTGCATTAATCACAGGCATTAATGCATGTCAATTGACAGTCCTAGTAATAAATCACCGGGATGGCATTCACCCAAGAGTTTGGAAAGAACTTAGATATGAAATTGTAGAAGTAATAATTATGGAATGTAATCTATTACTTAAATCAGTGGTTCCCAGCAGCCAGTCCACGGATTGGCCATGGGCCTTGAACCCCCATCTGCTGGGCTGCGGCACATGGCCGGGCCACATCCCCAGCTTTTATTTAGCCCCACCCACTGGGGCTCCCACGGAATTCCCTTCTGACCCACTTCCCCAGGCAGCAGCAGGGTGAGTGGGGCAGTTGGCAGCCCAGTGTGAGTGTCCCCCTAACCTCCAGCTATTTCCAGCCAGTGGGTACACACATTATTATTATGCATTATTAAGTGCCTAGGAAAATATGAATGTGTAGAATGCGTCTGCCCTCTCAGACTTGTTAACTGCTGCTCTTTAATTCTGGTGCAATTGAGGCAAAAGTTTTAACCAGAGAATACTTTTTAACAAGTATTAGCAACTATTCTTTTTAAAATGTGTACAAGCAGCAATTTTTCAAATTCTTGCTAACCAGCATGTCCTGCCTCCTTTGATTTGCCTGATAAACCATGGGCTAAAATTACTATAATGAATATGCAAATATTTCAGTGCTGGTCCGTCAACAGTTTTTGAATGAGTTTGCTGGTGCATGGTATAAAAAAGGTTGGGAACCACTGACTTAAATCAATCTATGAACCAAAGGACTAGAGGGTAGCTAATGTAACACCAATTTTAAAAAAGGATCCAGAGGCAGCCCTGGCAAGTGTAAGACAACAAATGGTCTGGCAGCACTTTATAGACTAACAAAACGTAGATGATATCATGAGCTTTCGTGGGCACAGCCCACTCGTCATCTGAAGAGGTGGGCTGTGCCCATGAAAGCTCATGATATCATCTGCATGTTTTGTTAGTTTATAAAGTGCTGCCAGACCATTTGTTGTTTTTTCTGTTCAGACTAACTCAGCTACCCCCTGAAGCAAGTGTAAGACAGTTATCCTAACGTCAGTACCAGGCAAATTGTATTAAGTTATAATAAGGCATAGAGTTTTTAGACACAAATGTGATATGTTGAGGAAAAGTCAACACAGTTTGGTAAAAGGAAATCATGCTTCACCTCTCTATTATTTTTTGAGAGAATCAAGAGATGTGGACAAAAGTGATCCAGTTGATACAGTGCACTTGGATTTTCAGAAAGTCTTTGACAAGGTCCCTCACCAGAGGCTCTTAAGCCAACTAAGCTGTCATGGTAGAATAGGGAGACTTCTCTCATGGATCAGCAGCAGATAGGAATGAAAAGGTTGGAATAATTGGCTAGTTTTCACAATAGAGAGATGTAAATAGCAGGGTCCTCCCAGGATTTGCATTCAGAACTGTGCTGTGTAACATATTCTCAAATAAGCTAGAAAAGAGAAGGAACAATGTGGTGGCAAAAATTGCTGATACAAAATTAGTCAAGATTATCATCAGCTCTGGAATTAAATAAGACATATAAAGGGATCTCACAGAACTAGAACTCATCTAGTTTTGTGAGATCACTTTGTATGTCTTTGTAGATGATCAATGAAATTCAGTGCTGATAAATGCAAAGTAGTGCTCACTGGAAAAGAAAAAACCCATCTAGACATATAAAAATATGGTTTATAAATTAGCTGACAAAAAGAGAGGGAGATTGGCCTCATCGTGAATAGTTCTCTGAAAACATCCACTCAATGTGTAGCAGCAGTCAGAATATTAGGAATGGGATAGAAAATAAGACAAAAAATATCACAGTGCAATGATATAAATCAGAGTTAGGAACCTTTTCTAGGTTGGGGGCTATTAACCAAAGAGAAATCAGTCAGGGTCCAAAAACCTCACAGACTTGGCCCCCAAGAGTAAAAAAGAGAGAGACATTAATTTCACTCATTCAACTTGGGATGCCAGGGCCACCTTGGCAATGGAACCCCACAGAGAGGGTGGCACCACAGCTCAGGACTTCCCCCAGGTCTGGATTAACTCTTCTGAGGGCCCCAGGCTAGCGGATTTTGTGAGACCCCTCTAGACTCTGGGTTAAAAAATTAGGGGTTCGGTGTGTGGGATAGAGCTGCCAGGGAGCAGGGTGGAGGGTGCAGGGTCTGCATAGGAGGTTGGATGCAGGAGCAGGCTGGGGGTGAGGGTTTGGTGTCTGGGTGGGAGATAGTATACAGGAGCCGGTTGAGGATGGGGATGCAGGATCTAGATGTAAGATAGGGTGTATAGGAGCAGGGTGGAGGTGCAGAGTCTGGGAGGGAGAGAGGGTGAAGGAGCAGACTGGGGGTGGAAGGTGTGGGCAGGAGGGAGAAGGCTGGGGATATAGGGTCTGGGCAAGAGGATGCAGGAGCTGGTGATGGTGGGGGTGGATCTCAGACGGAAGGGGCAGAGGGTTTGAGGATCAGGGTGCAGAAGTGAGCAGGGGATGTAGATTGGGAGGTCTGGAGCAGGGGATGGGGTACCTACTATGTGCTTGCAGGCACAGATCCCATTGGCTAGGATTTCTTGCCAATGGGGGTCATGGGAGTGAAGCCAGCAAAGCAACACAGGGGAAAGAACTTTCCTGTGCTCCATTCCCAGTGCAGAGCTCAGGGCTCTCCTTACCCCAGCAGCTGGGAGCAGGGGTTGGCACTCCAGCCATGCAGGGAAGGGGCACCAAGGTTCAGTGCCGCAGCGCATGGCTGGAGCATCAGCACTGGCTCATCCTGCTGCAGATGGGAGAGGAAGCCCAAGCCTCGCCGGCTGGATCAAGACAAGCTACATGGAAAGCGACACAGGCCGTAGGTTCCCCACCCATCACATAAATCCATGGTACTTCCACATCTGAATACTAGTTCTGGTTGCCCTCGCTCATAAAATAGATTAGAATTAGAATAGGGTACAGAGAAGAGTAACAAAAGTGATAAGGGGTATGGAACATGTTCCATATGAAGACCGATTAAAAAAACTGTGAGCGTTCAGTTTAGAAATGAGTCAAGACATGGTCAAAGTCTATAAAAATCATGAATGGTCTGAAGAAAAAAAGTGTTATTCTCCCATCACATCAGACAAGAACTCAGGATGTCACTTAAACAAGGAAGTGCAGCTTCCCATTAACACACAGTCAGCTTGTGGAACTGGTTGCCAGGGGATGTTGGGAAGGACAAAAAACCCTATCATTAGATATGTTACTTCAGGACAGATCCATCAGTTGCTATTAGCCAATAGGGTCAGGGATGCAACTCTGCTCCTGGCATTCCTAAACCTCCAACTGCCAGAAGCTGGAACTGGACAAATGGGGATAGGTCATTCAAATATC